GTGCTGTTTTCCATGTTGCTGCTGGGATGGATATAGTTTGGAAGGAACAGTTGAATTTTCCCTCATTACGTTTCTCTCATTCATTGAATGAGAATTGAATGGAATAAATTGAATTGAATAAAATGAATAAATTGAATATCCTAACCATGCCAAAAATTGACGATGACTAATTTGCATCGTGGTTGATCCTAGTGATTTGAGAAAATCAAATGAGTGTCAAGCCACAAAAGAGGGAGCAGACAAACTATTCACCCACTACCATGAACATTACAGGTCATTTTAAGGGTGTGGAGTCCTGTAGCTCAGTGGTTAGAACACTCGCCTTGCAAGCGAGACACCTGGGTTCAATTCCAGGCAGGGCAAAACCTTGGGCAAGTTTCCTTACTCCACATGCCTAATAATAACCCTCCAAAACAAAACAATAATAAATTGGTCATTTTTAATCCACGATTGTTTGTGGGACACCGCTGTGTGCAATTGGCTGCTGCGTTTCGCCCACAAATATATGGTCAATTCACTTTACAGTATATTCTGTGAAGCGCTTTGAGATGTCTAGAAGACGTGAAAAGTGTTATATCAAATGCAAGCATTATTATTATTATGTACAAGCTCTCTTCCCCCTTACCTTTACTGCATATTTCTTCACTTCCAATATGTGACACAGAGACATGCTAAACATTTTCACTGCAAGCATGCAAACTATTGGTCAAGATTCGAACATCTTTAATGTTATTTTTCTTAAAATTGTTTCTGTTCTTGCTAAAACAGCAGAATAAATCATATATCCTTCCAATTCCCTAGAAATATTTCATCTTGCTTGTACAACTTTATCCTGGTAATGTACAATAATAAAATCACACACGTTTACTTTGCTGAACGACTTTGAAATGTTTCATGCAGTACTCCCAAACGTACAATAAATCTGGGAAAGTGCATAACAGTTCACCTGCATTTCAACTGAATTTAAAGTTTACTGTTAGTTATAGGCCACAAGCGAAAGTATTTAGTAAGCCCATAGTGCTTAATGAATACAAAAGATGTTACAATATGATTTAAAGTGCAGCTACCAGAAAAATATTTTTTAACACTTGCAAATGAACACTTTTACAATGAAATGTATGGCTATTTCTACTTTATACTTCCTGTGTTTTTCTGACATTTATCAGCTGAATTTGATTCAAGCATATCCTTTCTTACACCACTGCACTTCATGATACTCCCTTGGGCCATGTTTTCCCGGGGATAGAGTATGCTTAGAGCAGATGTTTAGGTTTGTTCTATTGTTCTTTCAGAACAGTTGAACCTTTGTATAAAATTATAGCAAAAGGTATATCCCCATGAAAATGCTTGAATGCTTAATCAACATAAATTGCTTCAACAAATCCTTTGATGCATAACTTAGTTATTTATTTTCTGATTTGCTGGCAGGCTGACATTTTATTATGCTTGCTATGTCACTATGAGCTTACTAAATTCTCATTCTATTGATTGCTGAAGGAATCCTTACGAGGGACAAATGATCATCACAAATCTGCTTCTATGTCATTTATATTTAGAAGCATTTAAAAAAAAGTTTAAAAAAGTTTTAGACACATCAGTAAGCATTGAGGATATGGAGGGTTACATTCTGAAGAAATGGAAAACAGTGAAAGAGCTCATATACCTTACAGCTGGAGTTTCTCAGTTCACAGTGAAGCAGAAGACAGGCACAGATTTTGACAAAGGAAATAAATGTTCGTTGATTTATGTATTGACTTACTGTTAGATTGACAGTCACAGTCATTGGTCTTTCCTACAGCTCAAAGGTTGACAGCATCCCTCAAATCCTAAATTGCAAGCTCTTTTCAACCACTAACTGTAGATTTTCTAGCCGTCAGAAGATCATCTGCTTACTTGCTATCTTTTCTGTAGTCCAGGATCACCAGAAGCAAATTGACCCAGACTTTTGTTCTATTTTCAGATTTTGCACAGTGGCATTCATTATACACCATCCTTTAGAGAATAAAATTACTTTCCACCTTGGGTGCCATTCTGCAAATGCGTGTTTGATGCTAAACATGGCAGTGTTCATGTGTTTGGCTGAGCTTTCAGAATCCTGAAATGATTTTATTCTGTCTCGATTCTCAGGAACCTTAAGATCAAAATCTGTAGGTGGGAAATAATAGTTAAATCCTGAGGTCCAGCCTGCTTATATCCATGTTTCATCCATACATTATAACACAGTACAAAAGTTTACATTTATATAGAACCTTTCACAACACGAGGACACCCCAAGGCACTGAGCAGTCTATGGTTTTTACCCGAGCTGGGCATGGGGCTGACTGGGTGAGGATGACAGGGTGAGGATGAGGGGGTAGATGTAGCCATAAATGCTGTCAAAGAGGAATGTCTTGAGGGGGACAGTAAAGGAGAGGAGGGACCTGGTGAGTCGAAGGGATGGAATTCCAGAGGGTGAGGCAGATATGCTGAAAGCCTAAGTGCTGAGGGTGGGATGTGAAGTAGGCATCCATTGTTTAGGCTTTGGGGAAAAAGATATATCAGAACTTTCAGAAACACTGTGGTTTGGGGAATTGACTGCTGCATTCTTGCCAGGGAAGGGACATATGTTATTTATCAATATTTCTTTTAAGCAACAACTTTCACTATCAGTCAAAGAAACATATATCATTGTCCCCTTTGTTATTGATTTTAAAAAGTAAGAGAAGTTATTGAATCGAACAGTACGATGGAGATGAATAACTGTTAGTAGATACATGCAAAGTGCTTAAAGTGCTCAAGCGCTGACAACATCAGCATCCAAGGCTGCACTCTCCACCTCTCAAAGCCAGTCAGGAACCTCGGGGTTCTGTTCGACCCTGAGCTGTCCTTTCTCCCTCATATCCATGCCACAACTGGCACCGCCTTCCATCACCTCTGGAATGTCGCCAGACTACGGCACTACCTCACCCCTCACGCTGCTGAAACTCTGGTCCACGCCTTTATCACCTCAAGGCTGGACTATGGAAACTCTCTCCTCGCCGGCCTTCCCGGCACCTCCCTCCACAAGCTGCAGGTCATTCAGAACTCTGCAGCTCGTGTACTGTCCCTCACCAGGCTTCGGGAACACATCACTCCCACCCTCGCTCGCCTCCACTGGCTCCCCATCCCCCAGAGGATCGAATTCAAGATCCTCATCCTCACCTACAAGGCCATTCACGGCCTTGCTCCCTCCTACCTCTCCGACCTACTATCCCCCTACCTACCTGCCCGTACCCTCCGTTCCTCTGGCACCGGTCTGCTCCGCATCCCCCGCCCCAAACGCCCTACCATCGGTGGCCGGGCCTTCAGCCTCTCAGCCCCTAGGCTCTGGAACTCTATCCCCCAGTGCCTTCGCCTTGCCTCCTCCCTTTTCTCCTTCAAGGCCGGTCTCAAGACCTTTCTCTTTGACCGTGCCTTCAGCTCCCCTCTCGACTCTCTACCCTCTCCTCGCTCCCTCCCTTCCCTCCCCTCACCCTGACCATTTCCCCCCTGCTCGGGTCCTGACCCAACTGTACAGCGCCTTGGGACGTCCTCCCGACGTGAAAGGCGCTCAATAAATGGAATCTTGTTGTTGTTGTTGTTGTTGTGAAACAGATAGATTTGAAAAGTACAGAAATAAACAGGGGGAGCATTCAGTAAGAGGTGGTAGTGGTATCCAAAGCTGTTTAGGTCTTTAGATCTGGCTATTTTACTTTGCTAACTCGATTACCTTTGATCCACTCTTTGTATCTTCAAAACATAACACCAACCAAAAGCATCCATGGCAAAAAAAATAGCCAAGTTAAAGACAGGCAAAATGTAATTGTACACAGTTGCATGCTTCTAAAATGTTCCTACACATCTAGGGACTTTCTTAACAGCTGATGCTGTAGCTCCTGAACCACAAGATTTAGCCCCTCTGGACTAGGAATGGTGACACATAGGCTCTGCTAAAGTTGTGGTTTCCAGCTGCCAGACTTGTGATGAGGGAAAATAAAACCTCCAGCAATGTCCCTGCAATGTCTCACATGCTGCTTGACAGTATACATCCACGGAATCAACACTCTTTTGAGCAGAACTGCTTTGTTTTGTAAATCCACATCAGATGCAATTACTCGGTAGTCAGATAAATTGCTTTAATCTCCAGTGTGGATTGAAACTCAGTGGAGATTCAGATAAGATTGACTGGTTTTGAGACAAATCTGGACAGAGTCCCAAGGCTAAAAAACACATGGAGTGAGAAAAGGCCATTCATTCCATATGTAGACCATGTCAGTGGAATCTTGCTCAGACTCTTGGCAGTGTGTCCAACTGGACAGCAAGGTATACATGCAACATAGCTCCATCATAATTAATTTGACTTGAACAATCTGAAACACTTCCAATCTGATCAATTAATGTTTGGATATTTTAAGCTAATATTTCAAATGACAGTTTTAATATGAGGCCAGTATTTTGCAGAGTAATATTTTAACATTAGACTGAATAAACCTTGACACATAACTTTAAATCCAGCTTGTGGGTGAAATGTCCAGATAATTAGCTGAAAATCAAACTTACATAACAGTGTTTGTTGGGTTATTTTGCCAATGTCACCAGTCCTCCGCTGGGCAGGATATGAATCTCCAAATCAAATATACTAAGTCTTTACATGCAGCCTCTGTATACGCCTCTGATTCCATGGTTAATTACATTTCTGTCTATTTGAATGAATTATAATTGATTAATAAGCACTGTCCTAAATCACACATTGTTTTCGCTCATTCAAACACATCAAGATGAGAGCGTATGCACGCAAAAGAGCTTTCTAAGTTTACTTTGCAGAATTAAATCATTGTGAAGTATTGATAAAACTTAGCTTAAATTTGCTTCATTAAATTAAATCATTGCATAATATTGATTACCCGCAAGACATGATATTATTACACTGTAAAAAGAGATGTATTGCTATTAGAAGTGACCTATTATGCTAGCCTTATTCCTACATTGGAATTTTCTTACAGACCAGATGTATCTGGTTTGAAAATTTGCCAGAATGCATGCAACATGAGCTGTCTTGCCTTTAGTCAATCTACTGAGTGACATTTCAGGAAATATATCACTGCGCATTGCAGTTATTGATTAACCCAATCCTAGAATGTATTTGTGGTCTGCTGATGTTCACCTTTAATCTGAACTCTCAAAATTGTCAGCCCTACTCTTTTTGCAGGACCAAATCTAATAACATAGCAAGTTGTTAAAAAATCGACTATTCCCAGCCAAAATCATTTTCAGAACTAATTGGTTAATTGAATTGAATATATTAACATCATTGCTTACACTGTTTCTATGTTACATTACTTTTACTGCAGAGGTGCCTTATTCTGTAATAAATTTTCAGCTGTGGACATATGTTCTTTTTAAATTGATTAAATTCATACACAATAACAATGAACAATACAATACAAATTGACCTTTATACAGCGCCTTTCACGTCAAGTGGATCACCAATAGTGTGCAATAATAAAAGATTAATATATTGCAGAACCGAACAACACAGAACCACTCATTAGTATCAATTGGCATTGATTAGCAGATTCACAGATGGACCCACTTCATGCAGAACAAGCTTGATGGATGAATAGCCTATTCCTATGTTATTTCCATCAGGCTTGCAGGATGAATGGCCTCCTGTCCCTACATTACTTCCGTGGTGTATTTGTATAACATGTGATGCACTTGATGTTGACATAATGTCTCTCGGGCTGGATAGTGGCCCTTATTCACACTGTTGACTCTTTCTCTTACATTTCGTGGCTTGATCTTAAAGTAAATCAAATGTATTCACAAAGGAAATTGCTTTTGTGCACCAGGGCATATTGTACTGTAGAGCAGTTAGATTATCGGAAATTACTCTGCAGTGAGACTTCACCCAGGTATTCATTCTATGAATTGCAGTTGGGTGGTATGGTGGCATAAAACTGGTGTTCGAGCCATATTTGATTTGTCATTTATTTATATGTTTAGATTCTTGTTTCTGAGGCAATGGATGGCAGCGTTGGGAAGTTCAACACCTGTGCGGCTTCTTTTAGTTATTGTGCCAGTTTTTTCAAGTTGAGCTGTAGTTTGTAATAATCTATTGCCCTCTAGCAATTCATGTTTCATCAGACCACTATCATTGACAAGAAGAGAATGGCATTTTCCCTTTATTTTGCAAATGTTTTGCTTTAAAGACTTGAAGTCCATTATAGAAGTACTCAGTCTGGCATGAAAGCTTTTGGGATAAATGGTTAAATGCAAACTCAGCATCTGTACAGCACAGAATTTATCACTTAATAAAGACACGTAAAACAAGACAAAAAATCTTTAGCCCTCACTTCCTCCTCAGCTTGTCGCGTACGATTTAACTTCTTGCCATGTTAAATGCATATTTCATTATGACATTGCTGCCACTCTGCGCCTCCAGTGTTGACTTTGGTTGCCTCTATCACCACTATTATTGGCAGTATCCCAGCCTAGCTTACTCTGTCTCACAGACAGATTAGGCAGGAGTGTTGAAATATATCATACTGGTATTTAATACCTCTGCAGAGATTGCAGTTGTAAGCAAGGGTACTAATCCTTGATTTACTGAAGTAATAATATGCCATTCATCGAGTTTTTCAGATTTTAAAAATTTTGGGTGGATTTAAAGATTTTTGTTTCTGAGGCAATGGATGGCAGCATTGGGGAGTCCAGCACCCGTGTAGCTTCTTTTAGTCATCGTGGCAGTTTCTCCAAGCTGAGGTGCGGTTTGTACGAGTCTATTTCCCTTTAGCAACTCATTTCTCATCGATCCCCTATCACTGACAAGAAGAGAATACCTTCATCCTGTCCTCAATTCAGTCAGATCCCAGAGTGCACTCATTTATAATATATATATAATTACATATTTTTGTTAACCCAACAGCAAGAGTAAGATTTTCTTCAACTATTTTTTTCTGCTTTTCTGCTGTTTGTGGTTCTGATTTCCATTTAATACAAGTTGTTTGAATACACTTCGAAATGGGGCTGTTTTAATTTTAAAACCAATGTTCGTTCACCTCAGCATCCGAAGGTGACCTTGAATTATTTTGTCGAATGACCGCCCCAACTGATCACCCACATTCCCTGAGCAATAGCCTTAGAACCTGTCAATGGAAATGCCAATGAACAGAATGGACCATCTTTCTTCAATGCAGCGCCCTGGATTTTCCCTGCATTTGTCTGCACTTAACAGAACGCAAGTTGCTTTTCTCCAGACAATGAAATCTCATTTGCGGTCATTCTTGCTGATGTCTTAACAGCATTTGTGCGTTTTTTTGAATTTCTGAAACATTGAATGTGCCGAAGGGTTACATATAGAGGGTGTAATTTTACTAGGCTGGGCAATAATATTCAATGAAGGACAACTTCTTGTTTTAACTTGACATCTCAGTGTCAATATCTTGTATAATCAATGGAACTATCTTGTGAGCTATGGTTTTGATATTCTCAAAATGCAACACTTATCAGCAGCTCATGTCAGGATTTTTCACGTAATATTAAAATGTAGCCAGTCTTTTGATTTCACATTGTCATTTTCACCTCTTCTGGAGTTATGATACAGATGTGCTGAATGTTTGCCACAAGTGCTGCATCAAACAATCAGTGGCAAAAAAGGGCAGGTATAACTGCTGGCGTGGGCCGGTATCAGTGTATGCCAGGTCACCATCAAAGGATTGACCTATTTAGTTTTCTTACTGCAGCTGGTGTGAAGCCAGCTTTTGCAACACAGTTTTTTTCTGGCAGCCTGCTGTGCCACCTTCAGTTCAGTTCAGCACATCAGTGCTTCTAAATCACTGAAAGAAAAGGCCTCACTGGCGGTCGCTTTGCAGCACACAGTGCCTTGTGTTTGAGGAGAAGAACACAAAACACTGGCCTGCTCCACTCCAAAGTGATGTGACTCACCAGTCCTGCCAGGGATTACTGTTCATATCTTTCTCAAAAGTCGGGTGTGTCGGTGGAAGCTGGTGCATTGTAGCTGCAGGGTGAGTGATCTGCAGCGTGTCTAACTTAATTCTATCACCCAACATAAATGGTAACATGATCAGAACGTTTAAATATATATTGCACTCGGATCATAAACTAAGCGCTATTCTCTTAATTATTCAGCCTGGGAACTGAAGTAGGACAGAAAAAAATCAATGTGGTGAATAATCAATATTATGACTAAATGCATTTCATAATACTGTATTCTGTGGGCCAAGATTTCTGTTGTGTTGTGCACAGTGACAAAATGCTTATGAAATAAAAATTACTAAGTTATATACTGTTGGACCAATACAATGTTAATAAATTTTGATATTTGTGACCTTGACCCATGCTGCTCTCAGTTATTTTCCATAATATAAAATTCATGCAGAAAAATACATATTGGTAGTAAAAGACTGAAGAATTATTCCTTTGAAAGTTTCCGACAAGGTATTGAATTCTTGCTAATGGTATAATATTCACTGTTGTTTGTTGCACAGTGAAAATGGTTGGGTGGCAAATATGGTATTAGTAAGCGTTAGCTTGGCTCAGTTTGTTGCACTTTCACCTCTGGATTAGAAGGTTGAAGACTTCAATGTATAGTCCAAAATGACATTCCACTGAAGGACGTGTTGCATTGTCTGAGATTTTAACTTCCAGATGAACCTGTTTTGGATGTTAGAAGATTAGAGACACTATTTAAAAAGAAAGGGATTTGCTCCCAATGTCCCATCCAATATATTTGCCGACTCATGGATCATTGACCTTCATGGCCATTTGTGAGATTTAGACAGCGCAAGTTGTTTCCAAATGCACATACAAAACAGGTCAACTCACTTGACAGCAATTACTTCCAAAGCACTTCGAGACATTTCAACGTAGTAAAACCCTATAAAAATGCAAGTTTTTTTATTTCACGTGGATTTTATTCACGAGGAGCTGCTAGGTGGCAGATGGCATAGCTCTTGGTGCAGAAATCTAGATAAGAGTGAACTGTATGTGTAACTTCAGTGCTTCCATTAAGCTATGGGTTTGCATATTGTAGAATTCCTTTTCATCAACATCCTTTTGCCCTTTGTGATTCTCTTGATTCCCAGTTTGCAGAACAGTGAATGCCTCTGAGTTGTACTGAAAGTTGTCTCTATTGTGCCTTTTAGATTGTTTGTTCACCAATCAGGAGTTTTGCCTATTGTACTGTATTTCAGCATATTAAGTTCATTTTTTTAAAAGAAACACTCTCTCTCTCCTGAAAACAATATGCTATAGTGTGATTTGAGGGACACTGGCTACCCTCCAGTATGTGACCATTCCCTCACCTGGATACTGAGCTTTAATAATTATAATCCTTGCATTTGATACAGCACCTTATCATGTTGTCAAGACATCTCAAAGCACGTCACAGGATATACTGAAAAGTGGATTGACCGTGTGTTTTGTGGCCAAAATTTGGCAGCCAGTTATGCGCAGCAAATGGCAGGCAATTGAAGTTTGTGCGTGTGTGGAGATGTTTCACACTTGAGCTATTCCTGCCTCACCTGACATGTGCACTTTCCAGCAGGGGTTGCTGTATATTGACCAAAAGCAGCTAATTTTTCCGATCCCTAGCCAAAGGGGTTGAGTTACATTTTATCACTCCTACCAGCACTCTAGCAGATACCAGCTAAGTGTCTCAGGATAGACAGACAATGAAGCTTGGTACTTTCATGGTCTGCTTTTCCAACTGAGCTGTCATGGGAGCCCCAAGGGATTGACGTACTAAATCATGTTCTGGTCTTTCTGTGAGCTGTAAAGTAATTGATTTTTTTTTAACTTTCTTTCAGGCTTTCCTAATACCATCAGCAGTCGGCGTAAGTACATTCTCCTCTAAGAAGATCTACTTAAGATCTACTTCGGATCTTCTTAAAATCTACTTGCCCTTTGTCCATTTCTGTGTGGGGTAAATCATTTAATATGAGTGTCCATGTATTTTGTTCAGCTTTTACTAACTGCAGACTGTAGGTTGAAACAGAGTGGAGAATATGAACAAAGTTAGCAATTAGCATCTTGAAAAAAAATTGTTGTGCATCACAGTAGACAGGCTGTCATAATGTATTTGACATGCATCTTGACGGAAAGGAAAAGGCTAGGCTGAGAACATGCTTGGCGAGAATATTTTATGAGAATGGGTAAGTGACATTTTGGAAAACTGTTAACTTTCCACTATTTCAATGCAACCATACCTACAGTAACTTTGCCAAAATGCTGACACAGTATCCTAAATACAGAAATGGAAGATGGGTTAAGTAAATGTTTCTGCCTGAATCGGTGCACTTTCTGTTTCTTGTATTTTGCATGAATTCTCTTCCTATTTATCCAGCCCTTCGCATGCTGACCATGCCATTCCAAACCATCTGCCACATTAAAAGCCAACATCCGTTAGCAGATGTTTTGCTGTCAACTTGCAAGGCTAGTCAGTCCCCCATTGTCTTTATTAAATAATACATAAACATACTGACTTGACTGTAAGTAAGGTGTGCATTTTGTAGGACAATACTGATGCTTGGATTGATATACCACAGGCGCTCAATGGTCAGAATTATTCATTACTTTTTAATTTTGTGCAATTGATGGCTCCTTAAAATGTGTGTTTTTAAAGTGTTTTTTTAATCACAAAGCAATGCGCAGTGATTAAATGGCTGCAATGATTTCCTATTTAATCTCTGACTGCTGTTAAGAGCAAAATAAAGGTTTTCCTTTCCACCCATTTTATTTCAAAACTAAGTTCAACTGCTAGAGAACAAAATTCTTCCGGCACAGTAAAACCTGTTGCACACATTTGGATGATACTTTAAGATGAGTCCGAATTGACTCCAACCAAACACCCATTTACAAAACCTGGTGATTCACGAAAATGATTAAGATGGTTAGCATTTGGCATGTTACATATAATGGGTACCAAAATAATTTTGAAAAGTCAGCAGTGAAATCATCATTTTTTTAATTCATGCCATATAAGACAAAAGGATAAAGGTAATAAGTTAAACAATGTTCAGAA